ACATTTAGTTTTGAATTTTCATATTTTTGCAAGCAGTACTAGTCCTGGGGGTTGGAAATTTAACATCCTTCCACTCTTAAATTTAAGAATAATGCCAGCCTTGCCATTACAGTGGACCCTCGACTTACAGATGGCTCCACTTACAGACTTTTCGAGTTACAAACTGGCCGCAAAATTTAGGTTCGACTTGCAACCGGAGAATTGACCTGCAGACCGGAAAAAAACCCAAAATTGAACAAAAACAACCGGGTATGGATTAATCAGTTTTCAATGCATTGTAGGTCAATGGAGCCTCGACCTACAGACTTTTCAACCTGCAGACACTGTTCCAATACGGATTAATTCCATAAGTCAAGGGTCCAATGTAACTGAAGAAGCGAAGACTGTTAGAGACTTGCTGTTGAGATAAACTTAAGGCTTGGGTTAATTTAAATTTTATAGTATCTAGTTTCTTGACTCAATATGAGCTTGTTGAAAGACAGAAGTAGCTTTGTTTAGCTCTTAAATTTGAAAACTATGTATGCAAATTTAGTTTAAGTTAAATGTAAATTTAATTTCTCATGTTGATTGGATGAATTACAAGGGGCTCCTGTGCTACTTGAATACTATGAGAAGACTCCAGCCTTAATAATTTTAACACAAATGTATGCTCAGAAATGTTTTTCCAGTGTGAGATGGTGCTTTTCAGATGGTCCAGTACCACAGCAACATTCTCTTACAGAAAAAATGTGTTTTTTTCTGCACTCTTTAAACAATAAAAGTAAGTCACATTGAGAATAATCAGAATTGGCTCCAAATCTGTTTAGGTATCTTCTCTTTTATAAAAAAAAAATATAGCTTTTCTTTGGAAAGCAAATTAAAAGCACATGTAGAAGATTGTATGAATGAAAGACCAGATTCAAATCAGGCTTATTATTTAAAGGATTTACACAGAATCTTTCATCAGTATTGCTATTTACCAGTCCTTTATTACTGCAATTTTAAAATGTACTTATCATTTGTTATTTATTGGTGTGAATGTTGTTGCAATTTTGCTTCATTCATTATAACAATGAAGGCAGCTGATTTCAAAATTCATTCTAAGGTTCAGGTCTATTAGTAGTATTTTTATATATCTGTCAGGACCAGCCTTATCATTAACCACATGAAGATGTTTGCCTCAGATGGTTGAGCATTGGACAGAGCAAGCGCACAGCTTCCTCTCCCCACCAGGGACACTGAGCTTCTGAGAGCCTCTAATCTATCTCACAGGGCCCCAAAACAGGAGATGTCCAATCCCCTGCCATTGGAGGTGCCAGTGCCTGCACTTGCTTCCCTCTATGTGCACCACTGGGCACAGAAGAGACAAGTAAGAGCACATAAGCTGGTTGTCAGCAATGTCTCTGGGTTTTGTTTGTTTGTTTGTTTTGTTTTTGCTTTTGATACAGCTTCTAGGAGTCATCTTGAAGTCAAGGCAAGTGCTGTGGGGTGTGGAGAAATCTCCTGAGCTCCAGCTTCAGACAGTTTCTCTGGATACAGCCTACCCATTTGGTCTGGGCTCCAAGAGGACTCCTAGGAGCTAGGCAAGAAAAAGGCTAGCCCTGACAAATACTACTTGCCATGTCATTGCCTTCCTGTCCCCTGTATGGTGGCATGTGTGCAGGAGGGGCACTTTCTTCTCTGGGGCCAAACAGCATGGTGGGGATGTGGTGGGCACCTAGCTTCCCACATGCAGTGTCAAAAGAGCTTGGCCATCCTCAATATTTGCAAAAATCTTCTTGTCCAGAGTCTTCCCAAAGTACTGGGTGCCATGACAGACTATTTCACTGTGTTCTGAACTGAATATGGACATGGGCAACTAAGAACAGAAAAAAAACCCACAATTGTTTTATACATTTAAAGCTGAAATGCTGGATGGAGTTTTAAGAGGTTAGGAGGAGGTGAGAAAGCTAGGTGAACAATGATAAGGAACAAAATGGAGGTATGAAGTCAATTGATGTTTCCTTGATAATGTTGTGTTTTGGGTTTTTTTGTTGTTGTTGTTAATTATGGGAGCACAATGCAAGCCACATCTGTGTAGCAGGCTAGCTGATATTGGTTGTAACAGTGCAAACACTCTAGTATTTGTTCATCGGAATCATAGGTTGTTCTTCGTGACCTCTGTGAATCACACCCTGGGTGATTCGCGCCTGTGTGGAGCCTCATCAGAAGATTGTAGAGCTTCTGCGGTTGCAATAAGCACATTAGGATATGCCCCTCCCCACCCGTATTACTTTGGCACCAAGCGTCCCCTTTCAGTTTCTGTCAACCACAACGTTGAGAGCCTCATAATTCTGCTTCTGTGAGTAAATGAGCAAATTGGAAATGCCAATTGTATTGCTCCTGAGTGGGAATAGGAAAACATTCCGAGGAAGACGTGTTTGTCGGCCATTGGCCCAAGACTCTTACCTACCTTTTTCTGCCATTCCCTCTCCTCCACAAAGTTGTTGTCCATCTACAACAAGACAAAACCAATGCCATCGTTATAGCCCCTTGGTGGCCAAGACAGACTTGGTTTCCAGTTCTCAACAATCTCTCATCATACATCCACTATCTCCCCTGCCTGCCACACCTTCTCACACAGAACAATTCCCAGTCCTACACCTTGACTGACCTGTTCTGCACCTGGCAGTGAGGAGGATTCTCCCTCATTAATGAACATTCTTCATCATGCCAAAAAACCATCCACAAGGAAAGCCTACCTGTAAAAATGGAAGAAATTTCAATCCTTTACCAAATCTTCCTCATCATCCTCCATCAATCCATAACATTCCATTGTTGTCCTCTTCCTCCTACATCTCAAATTCAAGGGCCTCTCCATCTCATCCTTGAGAGTTTACCCTTCAGCAATAATATCTTACCAACCTCCAAATTCTCCAGCAACAAACTTCTTCAGACATCCAACAACGAAATGTTTTCTTAAAAGTCTCTGTCATATCTACACCAATACTCGACCTCCCTCTCCACAATGGTCACTAACTCTTGTTTTGAAGCAGCTTACCAAAGCTCCTTTCGAGCCATTAGCTAAAACTAACTTAAGACTCCTCATCTTTAAAACAGCTTTTCTCATAGCCCTCACCTCAGCTTGACGAGCTAGTGAATTGGCAGCTTTACGCTATGACTATCTTTATCTATAATTTTTTCCTGCTAAGATTAAGTTATTAATGGACATTTCCTTCCTCCCCAAAATTGTCTCTCAATTTCATCTTTCCCAGCTGATTGTTCTTCCTTCATTTTTTCTGTCACCTTCTTCAAACCAAGAAAAAATACTCCATACGTTGGATGTCAGAAGAGCTCTTGCTTTGTATCTCCAACATACTCAACCCTTTAGACAGTCATCTCATCTCTTCATAAGCCATCAATTGCCTACAAAAGGCCGTCAGATGACTTCCCAATCTATCTCCAGATGGGTCGCCTCTACCATTAATTTGGCTTATCAGCTTGCTTGACAACTAGCCCCTAGAGTGATTTGCCCTCACTCCACAAGGGCGATGGCAGCCTCTACAGCCTTTGTCATGGATTTGGCGACAGGAAAAACGCAGAGTTATTGAAGACACAAGTTCTTCTTCTTTTGCTAGTCGGTTGTATTTACAGTTATTTACAAGTATTTACAGGCAGGCATCACATCAGCATGGCAGGAACTCTTTATACAAACTGACATAGTAGATAGCAGAAAATGGTGAAGAAAGAAGAGGATGATACACAGACACTGTTCACTTATATACATGTACATGGCATCTCTAGTCCAATCAGAAGACACATGACTTCATCTTCTGCACCTGGTGTCTTCTTATTTCCAGACATTGCATCATCTTCAGAGTGACTCAGCATGCTCACATCTGTGCACAATGGCAGCTCGTTAATAATACATTTATTCAGGTTCAGGCCTACAAAATTTCTATATTCTGACAGCCTTTCTCCACAGTGTGCCTCTTCTGGACATTCTGTGCCTCTGCCACTTGGGCACAGCCGTCCACGTTTATCCATCATTATAGACTCGACCTCCAGCAGAAGTCTGATGCGGCATTTAGATGTGCTGTTCTAGCTTCTACCTTGGCATGACACCCTGCCTCCAGGTAAGACAGCTTATTAGTCACCCAGGGTGTGATTCACAGAGGCCACGAAGAAGAAGAACAGGTTACCCACCTGTAATTTTACTTCTTCGAGTGGATCTCTGTGATTCACACATCCCACCTGTCTTCCCCTCTGTTGTACCATTGTTTGCTTACTATTAAGCGGCGGTTAATAGTCTCGAGAGACTATGGTAACGTGCTCTGTATCGAGAAGTGTCCTCTCCAGAGCATGAAGCCTAGGTAAAGTAATATGGAGGATAGACTGTTACACAAGCAGCAGATTCCCCCTCTCCACGTTGCTGAAATGGTCCAATGGAAAGGCAAGAGCCAATACAAATGGTTCCAGTAACGTTGCAGGAGTTGGCAGAACGACACAAACTGCCTTCGGGACTCCAGCTCCGGATTTTGCCTCTAGGTTAACTCCTGAAGCCTTTTCCATGAGTGGATATAGCCACAAGGCAGTGGAGGTTTGAAATTGGAGTTTTCCTTCTCCTAGAGTGGCTGCCTTCCATAGCTGACGAGCCCCGGTTGACACAGCTGAAAGAGGATGCATGGTGCCAAGGTACTTATACAGGTGGGAAGGGGCATATTCTATTGTGTTTATTGCTACCGCAAAAGCTCTACAATCTTCCAATGAGGCTCCGCACAGGCACGAATCACCCAGGTTGTGAATCACAGAGGTCCACTTGAAGAACTACAGTTACAGATGGGTAACCTGTCAATTCCTGTCCTCATTCCACTTTATCTAATTGTGATGAAACACTGATATGTAGTGACTCAAAATATTAGTAAGTCTCAATCCACTTTTATCATTATTTTGTTGGTTCTAGTTTGCCAACAAAACCATGATACGGATATGCAAATATATTAAAAGATCTGGTAATATTGCCCTTGTTTGTTTTCTTTCAGCACAACCACCATGCCTTCTCACATCAGGATAACGAATGGCTACATCTCAGTTAACCCATCCATTTGGTTTACAAATCAGCTGGACCAGCAGCCGCATCCAGACCTTGCATTTCACCGTCATCTCAAAAGCTCAGACATTAGCAGTACCATAGCATCACCTGTAACTATTTCAGTCTGTGCAACAATGGTTTCTTTCCTCTTGCATCTATTGATTTCCTCTTGACAAAACAAGGTACCTTAAGTGCAATATCCAGGAAAAAGGATAGTTTTCCATCAATCACCTTGCACCTGGAACCTTCCAAGCAAAGACCTCCGACTGGTCTCTGTGTCTCTTGTCCAAATAGAATTTTAAAACTCTGAAGCTTTATTTTGTACATTGACTTAACATCTTCTTTTTGTAGAAGGATCTTTATTTCCCATACTGCTATGGGGCTTGTAAAATATATTT